CAAATAATTATCATAACTTTTAAATGATAGAAATCAAAATTTATTTTATTAACTCTCAAATGAGCCACTGTTAGCTATCAAGCTCAACATTCGTTAGCAACAAGTAAATAAAACAAAACCAAAGAAAGAAAGACATTTTTTCCTATTTTAAATTGTTAATGAAGTCATCGTCTACATCAGACATCACCATCAATGTTCGTTGTTGTTAAAAAGTCACTTCAATGCAGACATTGTAATTTTTCATTTTTCTTATTTTTATTTTTCCACCATCAAGTTCCAGAGACTGAAATTTTATTATCAGTTTTTCTTGCATTTTATTTATTATTATTTTTTTTTTCATTTGCTTTATAGCAAAAACACAAAAAAAGAAAAAAAAAAGACAATAAATATAAAGAAAACAAAGTAGTCATTACTATGCAATTTTTTATTATTTCTATTTTTTTTTATTTATAAACAATGAAATGCATTTAACACTGAAGTTGCACTCAATAAATATTTATTAAATAGACAAACAGATAGATAGATGGATGGATGGACAGACGGAAGGACGGACAAGCGAAATAATAAATAGAAATTTCATTTCAGTAGAGCAAATATTGATAAAAAATTTTTGAAATTTATGAGTAGAGTTTGCGAAAAGGAAGAGAAGCTTAAAGTTTATATAAATATTTTCCAAAACATTTTTTGCGTTTTAACAAAATGTTTTTTGCTTATTACCAAAAATTAACATCTTGGAAGTTGTTGGGTAAGCGATTCAGTGCTTAATTTTAATTTTATAACTGAATGTTTAAGCTTTCTTTAAAATTGTTTTTATTTCAATTTTGTTAATGATTCATAACTTGTTTATTAATGAAATAGTGTTGTGAATATATTTTGTCAAAAACAAACTTCATTTAAAATTGTAATAATTTATCTAAATTTATGATAAACATTCGGAAAAAGTGGACTTTGGTAAAAATAAATGTATGCTTATGTAAAATTCAAATTTTCAAAAAGTGAAATTTTCATAATTAATATCGAAGAATAATTTTTTTCTTTAGTTTATTTTAAATTCATAAAAATATACAAATAAAAAACAAAAACTTAAGAGGGTTATGAGACCTGATCGGAGGAACTAGAGTATTAAAATATTTCAATGGTCAACAAGTAACAAGCGCGGTTTTAAGGAATCTAATTTAACCACTATCAAAACATGTATAGTAATGTAAGTAGAGGTGCTAACAGTACATCTAGTCCGCTGGGACTAGAAACTGGTTTGACTAGACACCTATCATATCTGGTACTACATTATTCGTACTGGATGTTTTTAAGGTGCTTTTGGGTACAGTACGAACAATCGTCCTTTTGTCGAAAAAAGTCGAAGTCGAATATTTTGTTCCAAAAAAGTCGAAGTCGACTATTTTGTTCCAAAAAAGTCGAGAACTCGACTATAGTCTATGAAAAAAGTCGAAAAGTTGACTTTGTAATAAATAGTCGAAAAAGTCGAAGATAGTCGAAAACTCGAAAAAAAGTCAAACAATTTTAAATAGTCGGAAAAACTCGAAAATAGTCGAAAAGTCGAAAAAAGTCCAAAATACTGAAAAAGCCTAAAAGTCGGAAAAGGTCGAAAAGTCGAAAAATCGACATTTCATAAAATGCAAAAAGTCGACTTTTAACTAAATGCAAAAAGTCGAAAAGTTGACTTTTAACTAAATGCAAAAAGTCGACTTTTCGTATCAACTAGAGAATAGTAGTGATGTTGGTTGAAATCTAATAGCAAGAAGTGAATGTTGTTTAAAGGACTGATAGACGGTGAAATTAATATTTAGGAATAAGTTTCAGGTGATGTTGCCGACTCAAAAGGACTTTATAGAAAAGTGACTGCGATAATTATATGTATGATAAGAATGAGGTGACATCACAAGAACATGTCCTTATTATATATAAAGTTCTTTTCTTCGTCGGAGTACATTATGGCGGTTTACACCGTTCATACCTGACCTCTGTGTGTCCCAGTGTGTACATGTCAGCCATGTAAACACCCGTGAATGAGCATAGTGTTCTTTTCATGACGTGAGTCATCTCTAGCTCACCCCATGGTTGACAAAGGCCAGAACTTTGTTATGTGCTATCGTACATCAATATTAACTAATTTGAGCTCAGGGTAATATTAGGAAATGGCCCTTTTATCAATGATGGACCGAAGTTTACAGAATTCGTGAGAATAAATAATTTATTAAAAATAATGTGTCTAGACCCATTTCATAGTACTACCATAACTTTTAAAAGAGTTATTGGCTCTGAACCGAGTTTCTGAAAGAGGGCTTATATGGGGAGTAGCCCGATCCTCACGAATCCTAATGTTCGCTATTATGGTATTTTTAAATCATTTGCACAAAGTAATTTTCGGAAAGGAACTTCATAAGGACTGTATCGGGTGTTCAACAGACAGACATAGCTAAATCGTTAGAAATATGTATATACGTATGTAGGTTTACGACCAATATTTCGATCCTATAGATCGCAAATGCGGAATGACACTTAAATCATAAACATAATTTGTCCGTCCGTTAGTTTGGGTACTAATACAGATATTAGAAAATATAAAATCAACAAACTCCTCCAAAGCAGATAAATATGTTTCTAAACAAAAATATTACCAATTTTGGAGGAAAGTTTAAAGTGTGTGTGTGTGTTTTTTAACAGTTAAACAAACTTAATTAAAATTTATTGAACTATTCATTTAAAAATCTCTGTACGTGACTCATCGTTTATATATTTGTACTATTAATAGCTAAACGATTTTTTCTAATTCTTTTTTTTTTTTGTTAACCATTCCAGTTAACTTTATTTAACTCACTTTATTATCATCCCACTAATTTCAATACATTGATTTCTATCGCAAAACGTTTACAACTTTCCAATTTTGTCAAAATAAACAACGACAACAAAAACGTATTAAGGTTAATTTGTTTTATATCCCAAACAAGTGGTTTTTCTAATAAACATCACTTTTAGACTTTTTGAGATAAGATCACACAGTTTTTTTTTTTGGGTAATCAGAAGAACGTCTGTCTGAATTAGTTCATACATACAAAATAATTAAAAACGAGTTTTTATCTGAAAATATATTTTTAGATAAAAAAAAACTATTCTGTAGAACAATCAATAGACCGGTTTATAAAATAGTCAACAAATTAGTCTTTAAACTAGCCAATAAACTCATAGTGGGACTAGTTAATAGACTGACTGGTCTGTAGACTAATCAATAGATTGGATTATAGACTAATCAAAAGACTACAAATAGATTAGTTAATAGCCTGGTCTTTAGACAAGTCAATAGATTGATCTGGAGATTAGTCAATAGACTGGACTATAGACAGGTCTATAGACAAATCAATAGACTGGTCTAGAGAGTAATCAATAGACTGGTCTATAGAATAGTCAATAGTCTGGTCTTTAAACTAGTCAATACAATAGTCAATAGAATAGTCAATAGAATAGTCATAGACCAGTCTGTTGACTAGTCCATAGACTAGTCAACAGAATGATCTATAGACTAATCAATAGACTGATCTATAGACTAATTAATAGACTTGTCAATAGATTGGTCTAAAGACTAAGCAATAGACTGTTCTATAGACTAGTCAATCGACTGATCTTTAGACTACTCAATAGACTGATCTTTAGACTACTCAATAGACTGATCTTTAAACTAGTCAATAGACTGGTCTATAAGCTAGTCAATAGACTGGTCTATAGGCAAGTCAATAGAATGGTCTATAAACTCGATAACAAACTGGTCTTACTACTAGTCAATAGAAAGCTCTTTAGACTAGTCAATACATTAGTCTAAAGACTAGGCAATAGACTGGTCTATAGACTAATCTCTACACTAGTCAATAAACTGGTCTGTAGACTAGTCAATAGACTGCTCTTTTGACTAATCAATAGACTATAGATTAGTCAATAGACTGGTCTATAGGTTCCTCAATAGACTCGTCTATAGGATAGTCAATAGACAGGTCTAAAGACTAAGCAATAGACTGGTCTATAGACTAGTCAATAGAATGATCTTTAGACTAGTCAATAGACTCCTCTTTAGACTAGTCAATAGATAGATAGTCAATAGACTGGTCTATAGATTAGTCAATAGACTGGTCTATAGGCTAGTCAATAGACTCGTCTATAGGCTAGTCAATAGACTGGTCTATAGGCTAGTCAATAGACTGGTCTATAGGCTAGTCAATAGACAGGTCTATATACTAGTCAATAGACTGGTCTATAGGCTCGTCAACAGACTGGTCTATAGGCTTGTCAATAGACTGGTCTATATGCTAGGCAATAGACTAGTCTATAGGCTAGGCAATAGACTGGTCTATATGCTAGGCAATAGACTGGTCTATAGGCTAGGCAATAGACTGGTCTATAGGCTAGGCAATAGACTGGTCTATAGGCTAGTCAATAGACTGGTCTATAGGCTAGTCAATAGACTGGTCTATAGGCTAGTCAATAGACTGGTCTAAAGACTAAGCAATAGACTGGTCTATAGACTAGCAATAGACTGCTCTTTAGACTACTCAATAAACTGCTCTTTAGACTAGTCAATAGACTCCTCATTAGACTAGTCAATAGGCTGGTCTATAGACTAGTCATTAGGCTGGTATGTAAACAAGTCAATAGACTGCTCTTTAGACTAGTCAATAGACTGGTCTGTAGACTAGTCATCAAACTGGTCTATAGACTCATCAATAGACTGATCTATAGACTAACCAATACAATTGTCTATAGACTAGTCAGTAGACCACTCTTTAGACTAATCAAAAGACTAGTCTATATACTAGTCAATAGACTTGGGAATAGACTCTTCAATGGACTGCTCCTTACATTAGTCAGTATACTGCTCTAGATTTGCATTATAGATTAAATATTCTTTTGTTTTTAATTGAAAGCGATTATTATGAGTAAAGTTTATTTAAAAATACATTACAACTACAATTTACTTAAAAAATAATTCTTACTATTGTTGTTGTGTTAAATAAATGTTGTTGATAATGTTGATAAAGTTGTTGCTGTTTAGTTGTTGAGGATAATCAGGATGATTAACAGACATTATTTGCACAATAACAAATGATTAATATATAATTTTTTTAATTGATTGTGTTTCTTTTTTTTAATATATTTTTTAATTATGTTTATAAAATTTTTTACATAAACAATAACACTAATCAAATAATCACTTTTACATGCACTTGAATTAAAGATTTTTCTTATATTGTATAAAAACAAATTAAATTGTTATGAAAAAACAACAATAATAAAGAAATTCACAAACAAAAACAAAAGAAAATTATGACACTGACATCGTTGACGTTTAAAATGTATTGAATCGAATCAAATTTTATTATATCGTATCGAAGGCGATTATTTCTTTTTTATTTTTATTTTCGTAATATTTATTTATTTTTTTTTCTCATATTATTTTTTTACTTCTGCTGTTATCATGAGTTGGTGTAAATGTCTGTCTTTCCGTTTGACTTTTATTATTATTATTATTTTGGTTAAACGAATCTTATTGTAGTTTGGCTGTCAGTTGTTGTTATGTCAGTCCGTCTAGTCAAAGAAATACAAAAAAAAAACTAAAAGAAATTATATTCACTCACGATATAACTAACGATTCAATTACCGAAAACACGTAAAATTCCCACCATAACAAACGTTGTTAGCGAGAGCTCAGACAAAACTAAATTCTGTTTAATAAGTTGGACGCGGTCGTCCGTCGTGTTAATACTAACGAAATAAAATACAACAGCAACAAGAACAACAATAAAAGCTTAACAAAATTATGTGTGCAGTGTGTGTTTAGCGCTCTTAATGGTCTTCTCTTAAAAAAAAATTATACCAAACACCGTCATTCGTTAACTCAAAGCGTTGCCAGGTTTTATGTAATTAACTTTCCCCTTTTTGAGTAACAAAATATCCCAAAATTCCCATTTTTATTGAATTTTTACGACAAATTGAAATAATGGAGTTGTCAGTTCAGCTAAAGCTGTTTTTCTGTTAGTTTGAATTAGTTCCTTTTCCTGTGAGCCAAGAGTACTTTTAGAACAAAAAAGAATCGTTCTAAAATCTTGGGGACGGCTCGGGCTTTGCGGTTTTCCATGGCAAGTTCTTCTCCGTTTTTGTAGTAGGCGGTGGTCCGCTTTTAAGTATAACCTTTTGGGGGGTAACTTTGAACCTCAATATTTAAGGTGTCTCTTGAATGTCGTTCAAAGTTGCTGTATACGATATGACCGCTATGAATCGGGGAAGCTTATAAATGTGTGATGTTAAAGTTATTACTCTTCCAGTGATAATTCAATAGGAATTGTTTAATCAGCATGACTAGTAAGATTTTGGCAGCTATGAATATTTCTCCACTTCCTAACGCTGCTCCAGTATTTAGCAGCAAAGCAGATCGCAATTGGGCGGTGGTTTTCCGGGTTGGAGAAGTCTTGTTTTTTTAGGAATTGGGTGATCGAACTGCGAGGAAAAATACCCAAACGGTAGGAAAGATTGATGGCAGAAATGCCATCTGGACCTGGAGATTTGTTAACGTCGAGCTCAGACAACACTTTTTTAGCTGCACTTGTTCTGACGAATATTCTAGGCATAGTAAGGAGGACGACGCGAAGTTTGGGCACAGGAAAGGTTTAGACCGGAACATTGGAATTTGATGATAATTGTTTTATCATTGGTATGATGTGCTATTCACCATGGAGTTGTGGAATGTTTAGGGCCTATTTTGTTTATCCTTAACAAAGAACCAGAAACTTTTGTTGTTTTTCGGTTCATCTAGCACGAATCTGATGTTCATATTTGTGTTTCTCACGATTAACCAATCACTTCCCCGTGTACACGCTTGTTTGTTCAGGGAGTTTTTATTCCTTGGTTTTAAAGGACGTAATCTTTCTTGGAATGAACGATCACAACCATCTCGGTAGCAGCATTCATGTTACCATCCAGAAGATTCTCGGATACCTCTCGAGTCTAGAAAACCTGGAACAAAAGCCTAAAAGTTGATTTGGCCGAAACCCATTTGACATGGGGCAAGCTAGTCAAGAATTCTCGAAGATTATATGTCTAATTTTATCTTTGTTACTCTAGAGGTCCCGGGAGGGTTTCGTGTCATTAGTTTGTTAAGAGAATCTCTAGTCGATTAATCCAATAACCGATACCACCAATATTTGAGATTAAACATAACAACTACCACAGGTCTGGTATCACTACATCTAATACTCATTTTTAATTCGAATGAAAAAAAAAAAAAAACACCGATGACTGACTACCACCAGCGATATCTAAACAATAATACAATGAGCAAAGAAAAGATCTCAACAAGTTATAAAAACAACAACAAGAAAAACAGCACGCGAGCATTATTAGTTTAGCTAAATTTATAAGGTATTTTTTTTTTAATTTTATTTGCTGTTGTTGTTATTAGATTTTCGATCACCACTTTACACTCACTCACCTTCAAATTAGTACGATGATGAGCCAAAGATACTACAAAAAGAGGTTGGGAGTACATTACACTATACGATACAAACAACAGCAACATGTGCCTTCTTTCCCAAAAAAACAAAAAATATTAACAAGTCATGAACTTTAAGTTTCAATTTGTATTGAAGAGGGAAACAGCCAATATCAACCGGAGAGTTAAATAGTTACAACAAAAAAAATATAAAAAACAACAAACACAAATAAAATTAAAAAGTTTTTTCTTTTAATTTTTGTTTATCAAGTTCTTGGCTACGATAAATATTTATGATGAGTAACTGTGTTGTTTTGTGTGCGTTTGCAAAGTGTGTTTACACTAGCAAATGTTTAATATGCAAAGTAGTCTAAGTATGTAAAGTTATGTGAGAGTGTTTTATAAATAAGTTTACACTCAAAAATTAGTGATTGGTGTTTTAAGAAAGAAAGAGTTAAAAGAACTTTAACACGGAGGGCGATTCGGTTACTGTTTCTTATCCTTTCCCTAACATGGTCAACCCATTTTCAATTACACACCCGCAAATATTCGGTGGATTTGAAGGACTGACCTAAGTTATACTATGACTAAGTTATACTACGACTAAGTTATACTATGACTATGACGCAAATCTGGCGATCATGGGTTTCAATTGAAGTCAGCTTCGTTGGGGACGATGGTCTAAACTTTCCTAAAACCAGTCATATCAAAATCCTCTTTGACTACTTTAAATCTCCGGTCTAAGTCGACAGGTAAACAACGTTAGAAGATCTTCAGGACTCTACTTAACAAACATTTTTCTTTGACTGTTAAAACGTTTCTTGACATTTAGAAGAGCGAATAAAATGTCTTCGATTAAGAGAACCACAAATAGGTAAACAAAATGCTCTCTCTTTTTTCTAACACTTACGTCAATAACAATTCGAATAAACTAAACTTTTATTGAAAAGAAAAAAAACTAAAATATTTATTAACCCATATGCATAAATAAATGGAAAAAAACTTCTCATTACTTAAGATAAAATACGTATAAAATCAATAAACAAATGCATTTCAAAAGCACTTACGTACGAATTTTTCACACAAAATTTCAATTTCATTTCATTTCGATTTGTGTGTGCGATAAAAATAAAACCGAATAAATTTCATCATTAACACTGATAAAATACAGGAAGAATGAAATAAAATTACGAAAATTTTTAGGAAATTTTAGCAAAATGGAAATTTTATTGGTTTATCAATGATCGTGTTAAAATATTACTATTTTGGTTTCATAATATAATATTGAAATAATATTAAGTAAATGAAAATTGTGACTGGTCGCCTACCTTTTGAAATTGTGAAGGTTTGCGATTGACTAGATTCGATCAATGACTGCTTGAAAGAACCTGAATTTTACGAGACCAATGATGACGAGGATAATTTCAGACTCGCTGAATGTGAAAAATTAGAGGACGGTTTCGGAGACTTAAGACTCAGAAAAGAGCGACCTAAAACGAAAATAACGAAATGAAAAAGAACATTACCAGATCCTGTACATGATAACCGCCGAGCTGCTGAATGTTTAGAGTGCGAGGCGGGTTTCGAAAGGCTTAGGACTCAGAAAAGGGAGAACTAAAACGAAAGTAACGAAAATTTACCGAAAAGACTGGTCGTTAAACGCCCGAAATCTAGTCTATAGTCTAGTCTAAAGTCTAGTCTATAGTCTAGTCTATAGTCTAGTCTATAGTCTAGTCTATAGTCTAGTCTATAGTCTAGTCTATAGTCTAGTCTATAGTCTAGTCTATAGTCTAGTCTATAGTCTAGTCTATAGTCTAGTCTATAGTCTAGTCTATAGTCTAGTCTATAGTCTAGTCTATAGTCTAGTCTATAGTCTAGTCTATAGTCTAGTCTAGTCTATAGTCTAGTCTATAGTCCTATAATAGTCTAGTCTATAGTCCTATTCTATAGTCTAGTCTATAGTCTAGTCTCTAGTCTATATAGTCTAGTCTATAGTCTAGTCTATAGTCTAGTCTATAGTCTAGTCTATAGTCTAGTCTATAGTCTAGTCTAAAGTCTAGTCTATAGTCTAGTCTATAGTCTAGTCTATAGTCTAGTCTATAAGTCTAGTCTATAGTCTAGTCTATAGTCTAGTCTATAGGTCTAGTCTATAGTCTAGTATATAGGTCTAGTCTATAGTCTAGTCTATAGTCTAGTCTATAGTCTAGTCTATAGTCTAGTCTATAGTCTAGTCTATAGTCTAGTCTATAGTCTAGTCTATAGTCTAGTCTATAGTCTAGTCTATAGTCTAGTCTATAGTCTAGTCTATAGTCTAGTCTATAGTCTAGTCTATAGTCTAGTCTATAGTCTAGTCTATAGTCTAGTCTATAGTCTAGTCTATAGTCTGTCTATAGTCTAGTCTATAGTCTAGTCTATAGTCTAGTCTATAGTCTAGTCTATAGTCTAGTCTATAGTCTAGTCTATAGTCTAGTCTATAGTCTAGTCTATAGTCTAGTCTATAGTCTAGTCTATAGTCTAGTCTATAGTCTAGTCTATAGTCTAGTCTATAGTCTAGTCTATAGTCTAGTCTATAGTCTAGTCTATAGTCTAGTCTATAGTCTAGTCTATAGTCTAGTCTATAGTCTAGTCTATAGTCTAGTCTATAGTCTAGTCTATAGTCTAGTCTATAGTCTAGTCTATAGTTTAGTCTATAGTCTAGTCTATAGTCTAGTCTATAGTCTAGTCTTTAGTCTAGTCTATAGTCTAGTCTATAGTCCAGTCTATAGTCTAGTCTATAGTCTAGTCTATAGTCTAGTCTACAGTCTAGTCTTCAGTCTAGTCTATAGTCCAGTCTATAGTCTAGTCTATAGTCTAGGCTATAGTCTAGGCTATAGTCTAGTCTATAGTCTAGTCTATAGTCTAGTCTATAGTCTAGTCTATAGTCTAGTCTATAGTCTAGTCTATAGTCTAGTCTATAGTCTAGTCTATAGTCTAGTCTATAGTCTAGTCTATAGTCTAGTCTATAGTCTAGTCTATAGTCTAGTCTATAGTCTAGGCTATAGTCTAGTCTAGTCTAGTCTATAGTCTAGTCTATAGTCTAGTCTATAGTCTAGTCTATAGTCTAGTCTATAGTCTAGTCTATAGTCTAGTCTATAGTCTAGTCTATAGTCTAGTCTATAGTCTAGTCTATAGTCTAGTCTATAGTCTAGTCTATAGTATAGTCTATAGTCTAGTCTATAGTCTAGTCTATAGT